GTTCAAAACTTTTCCCCTGTGCCATTCCACATTATTACAAATAACTTCATTTCTGGACATGTATGTTTGATTTCTTTGTATATGGATAATTTGGTTTGTTACCGACATCTGGTGAAAATTTCATGTCATTAGCACCTCTAGTAATATATTTACTGAGAAAAATGGTGACGTGTTCAATACTTATTTTACCCGCTGTATATCACTGTTTGTATTACACCACAGCATTTTTAGGTGAGCGAAGGTAGAGGAACAAATACTCTTAAAGTAAATAACATTTAATATTTGGTGGTATAATCCTTGTTTTCAATAACTGCCTCAATCCTGCGACCCATCAACACCAAACTGTTGATTCTTCATTTGTGAAGCTGCTCCAGGGTCTTACTGCCGCTTCTTTCAGTTCTTGTTTGTTTGAGGGGGGGGGTGGGGGGTCTCCCTTCAGTCTCCTCTTCAGTCTCCTCTTCAGTCTCCTCTTCAGGAGGTGAAATCCTCTGTTGGGTTCAGGTCAGGTGACTGACTTGGCCGATCTAAAACCTTCGATGAAGTCTTTAGTTTTGTTGTCAGTGCGTTTTGGCTCATTGTCCTGCTGCTGATAAAACTCCTCCTGATTAGTTTGGACACATTTCTCTGTAAACTGTCAGACAAAATGTTTCTGTGCACTTCAGAATTCATTCTGCTGCCATTATCAGTTCCATCATCAATAAATAATAATGAGGCTGTTCCAGAAGCAGCCATGACATCACCTGCACCGTGCTTCACTGATGAGCTTGTGTGCAGTTCTTTCTTTCTCCACACTTTGGTCTTTCCATCACTTTGGTAGAGATTAATCCTGGTCTCATCAGTCCAGAATCTCTGAGCTGGTACTGGAGTCTGCAGGATTCCAGCTCCTCATAATAGACCGGGTCATAGACAGTCCCAGGTTTTTATTGTTTTAACAACTTGTTCTGTAAACTGCTTGAAAAAAACTCTCATTATAGTAAAATATTACCAATAGCAATTATGAATAATTAAAAGTTGTTCTCTTCAATATGTTTTTGAGAAATTGTTTGAGCCCAACTGTCCTCAGATAGTTTTCTTTTTAACGTCTGAAAAAACACAGTCTTTTTGTTTGTTTGTTTTTATTTTCTAGGAGGGCGAGATGCCAATACACGAGCTGCTTAGCCTTTACGGTTATGGGAGCAGATCYCCAGCAGAGGAGGAGGAAGATGAGGAAGACGAAGAACCCGAGGAGGAGGAGGATGAAGAAGAGGATGAGGAAGAAGACCTGGATAACGATGAAAGCAGTAGAAGTACCGGCGAGCTGAAGAGAAGTGAGGTATGTTGTGGCTTGACTGGATCCTGGAAGGTCCAGGATATTTACTGGAACTCCACCTGAGAACCTGCAAATCAGTAAAAATGTCGTCTGTTCTGTCAGTGGGTTTTAAGAATAGACAGTTAAATATTTAACTAACTAAATACTTAACTAGCTGGGATGGGCTACAGGACAATAGGCAAGCAGCTTGGTGAGAAGGCAACAACAGTTGGTGCAATTATTAGAAAATGGAAGAAATACAAAATAAVGGAAAATTTCCCTCGGTCTGGGGCGCCATGCAAGATCTCACCTCGTGGAGCATCATTGATCTTGAGGAAGGTGAGGAATGAGCCCAGAACTACAC